CAAAAACCACAGCCATTCACAATAATGCATCTGGTATGAAAACGATAATGCGAGAACTGATTTCATGCGATACGCTTGCAAGCGTCTATCGCCTATCGTATGAAAATTCATAATGGGGGGGTTAATGTTTATTATTTTTCCATAAAAGTCTACCTCATTATATAACAAACACTATATAAACCCACATTTCAAACTTTTTGCAAAAATAATGAAAAATTTGTAGTTTCAGCTAAATTTTCATCTTTTTATTGTTTTTTTCAGAATTTGTTCCAGTATCCAGTTTAATAGCCCATTAAATTCCAGGGTAATAATGTGCAAGTTTTAAGTTGCTAAAGAATCGCATCGGTTTTTAATAATTTATTTTCTGACTGCATGCCACATTTTTTTTTTCATACAAAAAAATTGTCGAATATATTTTGTATGGAAAAAATTGGTAATGCAGTAATCTGAATAAAAAGTTGAAAATTTAGCTGTAACTTTGCAGATTTTTTATAATTTTTGCACAAAGTTTGAAATGTCGATTTATATAGTGTTTATTATATAATGAGCTAGACTTATGGAAAAATAATGAACATTAAATAAACAAAAGAAAAATAGCCAAAATTTGTCAAAATGTTGATGACTTAATCAGCTGATCACAAGTGTATGCCCAATATAATACTAGCTTTACATACATATAAGGAGATTATCCTTATTTTCGAGCTCAACTCCCTAATCAGTAATCGGAAAATGAGATTACAAAATTCGTCGCTCGTTAATCTGTAATTATGAAATAATCTCAGACTAAACCGGTAACTTTTAGGTGTCCAACCTAGTCGTATCGATTATTTTTGCGAAGAGGAGAAATGTCAAATGTGAAAGTAAACAAATATAGACGCTATCAAGGAAAATAGGTCTGTAAAGGAATTTTTAATAAAATATTTAGTTAAGATATATTTAAATTGTTTAATATAGCCAAAAAAGTGATCACAATGGCACAGAGAAGAAACTTTACTTTTCCTTGAGTTGTGAGTAGTTATTCTCACACAACAAATTTGACGACTAAAAATATAAGATTTGCCTATGTAAACGGGGTAATTAACAAACGAGCTTTGATTGAAATCATCACCCCTATTGCGAGTGTCGACTAGTATTAGATAAACGACTATTATTCGATTGCCGCTTTTCCATGGTATTGTGAATGTGGATTTCCCGTTCAATAAGCAACTGAACAGTTTTTGGCCGTTCATCCTTCTACAACTGTTTGGTTTGTAGAAAAATGAACTACTAAAACATTTCACACTCACTTATTGAACAAGAAAACGACATCGAAAATACCGTGGATAATCGATAATCGAATTATAGTCGTTTATCTACTACTAGTCGACACTCGCAATAGGCGTGTATATTTATATGTTAACATAATATAAGTCCGCAAATTACTTAATTTTAAATTTATTTTCATTAATTATCCTCAAATTTACCAGATTAAAAGAGTAAATTAATAATGACAATAAAGAATGGACACGAAAAATTTTGGTCAGCCGACAATCATTATAACAACATATTACACAACCTAATACCATGTTCGCTCCGACATCGAAAACATGTTTTCGTTGGTATAACTGGTTTTCGACCTAAAACTTGTGTTTTCGTCGATGTAAAATCGGTCAAACGAAAACAAGTTTTCGCTGAAAACTACTTGAAAACTCAAGTTCCACTCATTCCAATCGGTGTCTTCACTAGTATTTTAGATATATTTATCGAAGTGGAAGTCATATTTTATCATCTTTAATACGCTAGTTGGGATTTATTGTCAATTGGCTGGCCAAATTAAAATATGAACAAAAGAAAAAGGTTGCTAATGATAAGAAAATGAAAGACAAAGATTTTGATTTTGTTTTTGTAGCAAAACTGTAAACAAAGGATGAAAGAAATGTCAACGAAAATACTAACAGCCGGTCTGAACAGCTTTCAGCCCAAAACTCGTTTTCAAAGTGTTTTCGTTGTCGGTCCGAGCATGGTATAAGAAAAAAGGTTTCTGCTTTTTCATCTTCTTTATTAAAAAATGCCCTATCTCAACTGAAAATACTTATATTGAAAATATTTTAATATAGGGCGTTTTTGAACCAAATTCTGAAATAGGGCGTTTTTGAACCAAATTCTGAAATAGGGCGTTCTTGAAAAATTTTCTGAGAGGTCGATCTTCCACGCAGACGTCGATATACTNGGTTTCTGCTTTTTCATCTTCTTTATTAAAAAATGCCCTATCTCAACTGACAATACTTATATTGAAAATATTTTAATATAGGGCGTTTTTGAACCAAATTCTGAAATAGGGCGTTCTTGAAAAATTTTCTGAGAGGTCGATCTTCCACGCAGACGTCGATATGCCTAAAACACAGATTTTGTTCTGAAAATGAAAAAATGTGTTTGAAGAGCAGATAAATTTTAAAAGCTACTTGAGAAAAGGGCACTTAATTACATTGAAAATATTTGGAGGAAAAATATTTAATATATACATATTTGAAACTTGAGTTTTAAATCTTTATGGCCTTATTCATAAAAAATAAAGTAACTTTATAAAAGGTTCATAAACCGAAAAATTTATGAAAACGTCATTTTATAAAGCTCTTTAAACCTACTTTATTGTTTTACGAATAGGGCCATTAGCCTATTTCAATTTTTTTATTATTATGTGGGCACTCATCTAACCGTGTAAACTTACGACACATGTTAATTTAAGAGTTACGATATGTCGAAATTTAAAATATCGAAACTAAAAACATCGACAAAATTAATTAGAAAACCAAGAATTTCGAAGAAAACTGTCGAAAATAAAAAGGTCGAATTTCGCACATCATTCTTTGCATTATTGGGACAGGTTGATTTATTTAAATTAAATATTGTATATTGCTGTTTTGAATTCTTTTCCTCCTTAGTTTATGATATTAAAAAGTTTAATTTATAGGATCGTTGAAACGAGCTGCAACTTGCTTAAAAAGTTAAACGCATTTTCATCAATAAGTTAAATGAAATATTACAATATGGGTGGCAAACGAAATAAGTTTTAGAAAGCTTAATTTCAAACCCTCTAATCCAGATTATTTAACATGGTAATTCTGATGGGTTTAATAAAGAATTATCCCTCAACTATTATGGAAAAGGTTTGTATTTATTTAAAAGGTTAAAGCCAATGAAACATTATGAAATCATGTATGTATGTATCAATACATATAGGCATATATCAGCAACATAAAATATGAACACCTTTTGAAGAAGTAAAATTAAATTTAATAAATACGCTAAAAGAATTATTAAAATTTAGGTGTCAGAGTTTAAAAAAAAACTTTATTTCGAATATATTTTGGAAGAGGGTTGCCATTTGTTTAATTTTAATTCGATTAAATGAATTAGTTAAATACTACAATATGGAAAGTGGCTTAAGAATGATTTATTTCCTTTATCAACAGGTTTGACTCGGCGTTATAAGGTGTCAAACAAGAGAAGTTTAAGAGACCATGATTTCCTAAAATTTTAAAGAAGGTTGCCGCCTTTTTTAATAANGGCCCAGCAATTAAATAAACCGCAAAACTTCGTTCTATTGATATTTTAATTGTCGATATTTCGACCTCAATCTGAGGTCATCTTCAGGACTGTAAATATACAAACGCGATTACTTATTATTAACTATAAATTATTACAAACATACATTAAACACAACTTACACTCTTGATTGTGCCTGGTGGACTGATTAGGCGTACAGAAATAAAAGTTAAATAAGTGAAATTTTAGGCAAATGAACATAACATAAGAAGTAAACAATTAAAAATACCGTAATTGTAAACAAAAAAACATACAAACAACAATACACGGAACATTTAGCAGTAAGACAATATGTATATGTACATATAAAAGCACAGCATTTTATTGTTATTCTATGAAGGTATGTTGGGGAAACGGAACGAATGTTGATTATGGACGGCGGAACCGAACACCTACGTTGAGGATTGTTGTTGCCGATTTAACGCCAATTTGCGATACACCAGTGCACAATTGTCTGGGTCCGTTTTAAAGTTGATCCTTCTCTCATTAGGGGTGTTCGTAATGTGTAACATTTCCAAAATATAGCGTTTATTATAGTTCTCTTCTTGTTGCCATTCTACATGCCTAAAATTTCACTTGTTTAACTTTTATTTCTGTACGCCTAATCAGTCCACCAGGCACAATCAAGAGTGTAAGTCGGTTTAATGTATGTTTGTAATAATTTAAAGTTAATAATAAGTTATCGGGTTTGTATATTTACAGTCCTGAAGATGACCTCAGATTGAGGTCGAAATATCGACAATTAAAATATCAATAGGACGAAGTTTTGCGGTTTATTTAATTGCTGGGCCTCGAGCTTGTTAAAAATGATTCATAGAATAAAAATTATTTATGTGTTTGTTTCTTAACCTTCGCGCGAATTTTACACATCATTCATTACATTATTTCGATATACATATATATTTTTTTCGACATTTTTATTTTTCGACATTTTTCTTTTCGACAATTTTTTTCTCGACATTCTGATTTTCTAACTTTTTTTCGGTGTTTTTAGTTTCGACATTTTAAATTTCGACATATCGTACCAGACCCTTTTAAATTTTGACACTTCTGTTTCGACATTTTTATTTTCGTCTTATCGCATGAATCCACATGTTAATATCAAAATGTGATTTAAAAATGTTATTTCGTTTCGATAAAATGATATTAAGTCAGATTGAAACATTTTTCATATCGTATTTTTTCTTCGCCTACATTGTTTACACACTGAATTCGTCGAATTTTGAATCAACGAATTTTGTGTAAAGGACTTGTCGTACAAATGATGACTGAGGATTACGAGGCTGTAAGTTTGCGAGGCATTCAAGTGATTAGATGCATACCCTGACTATTTTTCTGTTTGCTTAAAAAAAATGTACTCCACAATCACTAACGTACTACCATTTCTTAAACTTAGCATAATTATCTCCCCTTACCTGATGATGAAACCGCACACGGTATCATATCCCTTAGATTGGGAGCCGATGAACTGCCGCTTATAACTGCCGTGCTAAATAAACTACTTGAGCTGGTGGCCATCTTTTTGCTAAAACCACCGAATCCCAACATTTTCATATATGACATCTGGCCGGCAATACTGTGTCTTTGACGTCGAGACGATACCGACGATGAGGATGACACTGGCGTCGCATTACCATCTGCGACGGAATGAGTAGTAGAAGAGCAGGTGGCGACCACGGACGAGGGCATGGGTATGGATGTGGACGTGGAAATATTGACATTGGGCGACGATGTCGTCAATGTTGTGTTCGTAGTGGTATTGGTTGTTGTTGTGGTAGTGGCATTTGGTGGGTTGTAAGTAGTAGGATCGTTAGGAGTGAGTTCGGGATTTAATTGGTTAGTATCAGGCATAGTAAACAAATTGGTTGAGGATGAGCTCAAAGTGACAATAACGTCAGGTATGCGCGCAACATGTGTGTGTTGATGTCGTTTAAATTGTTTGTGTTGAATTTGATGTTGGTGAGGGGGGTTTTGTTGTTGGTGATGTCGGCGAACATGTTGATTGTAACGCGGATTTTGTGGGTTATGGTAATTGGAGCGTATGACATGTTTGTGAGTGTGTGCGTGTGATGGCATGTGATGTTTGTGTTGGAGTAATGTATCAAAGTCGCAGGCGGACGAGGAGTGGCCGGAGGAAGAGAAAGCATTAGCATTAGCATTAGTAGGATGCATAACAGCAAATTCATCGATTGTAGTAAATCTATTTACAAAGGATTTCTGAGCTGGCTGCGTAAACTTGAAAGGATTTTCAACATTGGCCATAACCGGCGCCGACTGCACCTTTGGCAAACTAATCGACGATACTATTTTAACTGAAATATCGACCTTTGCATTTTCATCGTCCGCAGTACCACCACACAGTTCGTTGGCATATTTCTGTTGCGATTTCGCTTGCTGTTGCAGTTGCCGCTCATCAGACTCTTTACACAATTTCAAGGTGGAAGCAGTTGGTGAGTTATTAGGCGAGGTAGCACGCAGTTGATCTGTGTTTTTCCGCTCATTCTGTGGGCGAAATCTGAATTCACTACTTAGGATGGTGGCAGGTGCCGAACAAGACAACTGAAAATCGTCAATGGAAGCAACGCGCGAGGCGGATATCGGCGAACTGCCCAAGACAAAGTGTAATTCTGCCCCATCGTTCTGTGGACTTATGTCGGCCATGCTTTTCGAATGCGAATGGGGGAAGTTTTCATCGAAAGCACCGCCACCACTTAGGCAATTGCACGATAACGGGCGCTCGTTAGTGGCTAACGGTGAAATTTTAGGCAAATGTGATTTGTTATACGAATCGGGTTCATCGGTACTGGCCATAGCGCGCATATTCAACAATTGCGCATACCGCTGGTGCCTCATTTCGTTTGGCAAGCTTGATTTGTATTCAGGGCAAGAAACGTCCGGCGTAATGGGATTAAGAGAGAAATCAATGTCAGAGAGTGGCAGCTCATTGGTGGAAGAGTCAATTTTATAGAAAGTCAAACTTTCGGTTACGCGAATGCGAAAGGAGCCGGCAGTGGCTACTGCAAAATTAGGAGTAGATCGAGTGTTGGGAATTTCTTTGAATTCATGCGTATTAGTAGCAGGTGTGGTCGAGCGCGTGGGCGAGGGTGTGAGCGGTGGCGTAGGCGAAGCTTCAGCTACGCGAATTGATTTTTATTGAGTTAGATGAGTTTTTCGAATTATTTTATTAGAGTTTAATCGTGTTAGAAATGGAGAGAGAAATAAGAGCGTATGAAATTTCGATTTGTTTATTACAAGAGACCAGAGCAGACATGGGGAACGACGGACGCCATGTGGAGTAAAATGACATATTTAATGGGTAAATACATTAAAAATTTTGCAATTCATGTAGATATATCTATGTACATTTAAAAATACTATGTACTTGAAAATCGTTTTAAAAATATAGATACAGCAGATAGTACGTATTGCATGAACAAGTCACATTGAGTACGACATTAAGGCAATGCAGCAAGCAGATGTCGAACAGAAAATATTTGCAACGATAAGGGTTACATACATACATACACACATATGTAAGTGTGAGTTTATGTTTTAGCTGTTAGATTTTTAAAAATCGAGTCGACTACCATACACATGCAAACGAAGATACATTAGAGAGCCGCACAAAAGTTACTTCTTAATGAAAAAAACTCAGTTTGCACAAGAATATACGGTCGTAAATAGCAGTTATTTTTTTTTTTCAACAGTTGAACATGGCCAGATATTTTTTAAGTCCGAAATAAACGTCTTTCCTGATAGTAAACAATCCGCTTAAAATTTACTCGATAGGTGGCGCAGGAGTCGATATATTTGGAAAACCCATATTCATGGCCCGATTTGTTTTAAATTTAGAACGTATGTTACTTAAATGGAAAGAAATAAGAAACCAAAATTTTAGCCGTTAGGTGCTGCGGGGTCGATTTTTTATTAACCGCTTATAAAAGATTGTCTTAAAGAAATTTGTTTTTAAATTACTTGTTTTCAACTATCTACTTTTAATTTTTTCATGAGTTTATTTAGGTTTTGAAAACTTGTCACAACTTTTCTTATTGCTTCTTAAATTGCTGAAGGTGGCATAAGTCCTAAACCGGTTGTATCCAAACCAAATTTGACAAGGGATGACAGAAACTCGTAGCAAAATACACCATTTTTATAATAGGAAATCAGTTAAAAATGCTTGTGTTATTAAAATCTCGATCAGGGTATTCATCTAAATTCGTAAATGCCTCGTAACTGTATAAACCTCGTAAACTTACTTAATTTTGTATGGAAAACTGGGTAATTTACGAGGTTTACACATTTTCGAAGCATCTACGCATTTAGATGAATACCCTGAATGAAAGTTTCATTAAAAAGTTGTCGGAAAGTGCATTAAAAGTGTCATTATCTTTAATATGTCTGAACATTTTTTGACAAGGAATGTATTTTTTTTATCGGCTAAGGTTACTTTTAATGAAAAACTTTTTTT